AGAGGAAACAGAAAACAGAGCAATACTGGCCCAAGGTGGGGAAAGGGTAACGTAACCCTTGGTACCGTTGGTCGTAGGACATTTGTCGAGAGCTGTGATGGGTGCGTTTAGTGCACTTAGTAATTCTTTCACAGGCTCGGTGAAACACTGTCTTTAACGCAGAAGCGTGTTGTCAGTCACGGATGAACAACGGAGGCCTCTGCTTCGTCTGCGTGGTTCGGGGAGGACACAACTTACCGAATTCGCTGGTGCAGTAGGCCTCCACTTCATCTCTCTCTTTCTCGCACTCGGTCAGACATGCCTTCTGCTTATCCGCACCTAGAAGAGGCAGGCAGAGTGAGCAACGGCACGGGCCCTCGTGGGATATTTCATCCAAATTACGCCGCCCACCCTTTGGCAATGTCGCCGTATCCCCCAGCCGAGCAGCCTCTCCCCTTACCTTCGTTCAGCGCGCCGGAGCGGTGCGGCCAGCTGGGTGACTGGCGGTTGGTGACCCAGGCGGGGCTGGTCACCTTCACGGGATCCGCATGTTTATAGGGGATAATTTTGGCTGGTCGGTTGAAGTGACCCAGCGTGTTGGAATCATCTGACTCCACTGTTGCCGAGTCTGGAAAAGGATGAGCCTCCGCCAAGGATGTCATCTTGTGACAGGAAGATGCTACGTGCTGGAAGCGAGCGGACACACTGTTGGCAGCCTCGGGCAGCCACCTGTGCCCGGGCTTTCTGCTCGCCTGGTTGAAGCCGCGGGAGGCAGGAGAAGGCCCCTCAGTCAGGCTCTCCGGAGGCAGGGCCCCTCCACGCTGCAGGAGGGGTTTCCTCAGCCCCGTGCTGTTTTCTAGAGAAGGTTTGGTGCGTTTCTTTCTGTCTGCTGAGAGGGAGCTGATTTCCGGAGGGCTTGGCTGCTGCAGGCCGGCGGGAGGCAGAAGCCAACGCTGGGTGTGATTTGCCGTGCCCCAGGCCGGCGGTTTGACCTGGCGAGGTGCAGCCCCTGCGGACCTGTAAGCATCCTTGCTGAGAGTCTGGCTGGGTTTCTCAGCGTAGGGCAGGGATCCTACAACCAAGAAAAAGAGAGAGAGGATTAGCGTTTCAATTTTTTTATTCCATGGGCTTCTGAATGGGAAGTGCCTGGCAGATTTGAGGCTTTAGTCCATAGTGAGGCCTTCAGCAGTAAGGCAATATAACGGATAAATAGTTCTACGAATGAAATGCAGCAGAGCTCCTCGTTCTTCCATGCTCAAGCACGGAAGGCCCAGTACAGAGAACACAGCTGTGTGAGCAAAACACAGGAGATTTGCATTTTTACTTTATTATTGTTGCAAATTAAAAACATGACTTATAAACAAACCCTTTTCTCAAAAGCCTGAATCTCCGGGGAACATCTGAGGAAACAAGGTTCACGTTGCCATTTGGGATGCTTGTTTAAAAGCCCACGACAACAGAGCTGTTTGGTTTTCCCATCCGTGGGATGCCTTATTGACAATGTCATCTGGACTCCCCAGCGGCTCGGGCTTTGAACGCTGTTAAAGGAGAGAGCGCTCGAGCACGCACACACCATCCGAGGGGTCGCACACTCGCCACCCGCGTCTTAACCTGCTTGGACTGAAGCCCCTTCGCAGTGGGCGACTCCAGCAAGGCGACGGGTGCCCCTTCCGACTCCTCTCACACACACATGCTCGCTTTCAAGTGCCTCTCCTTTCCCAGGTTCAGCCCTGGGTTTCCCGTAGCAGAGTCTCAGATATCGAATCTTATATCAAAAACCAGAAAATATTCAGATGGTACAGCAAAAATTAACAGCTTGTGCTGGCGCCTCTGGAGAGAGACCCCAAGCAAGAAACTCTTGGGCAACGGCACCCTTACCACCTATGCACCCACCCCTCACGCCCCCTCTCAATCCAATGTGGTTTTTTTTGGTCTGGGGTCTTCTAACACCTTGTTAGATTCTTTCTCCAGTCAGGCTGTTGACTGCTCTCATCTTGGTGGTTGTAGCCTCCCGATTTTCTGGTCTGTGTTTCTTGTACACCTGCTCGCTTTGCCAGAATTAATTTGGGATAAGCACGACTTGGCAACGACAGGACATCAGTGTGTTATCAACGTTATTCTCACATTATTCCAAAACACAGCACTCTACCAGCTGCTACAAAGAAGATCAACTGTATCCCAGCCGAAAATGTATCCGAGTGGAAATTACAGCTTGAGGCCTGGGGCTTTAGCAAATGTAGCGACTCATGCTAAGTTAGTAATGAACAAACAGTACACCAAATACCCAACGTGATGCCGTAACCCTGCGTCCTAAAGCCAAAGTATTGACTCTGAGCAATTCATTCTATTTAAAAACTTACTTATGTCAACTAAACAATTAGTATTTCTTAACAAGCACTACAGAAAAGATCTTTATCTGGTTTGGGGTCCCTGACTTTCGTACTTCAGAGTTGTATTGCAGTAGCACCATGGTCTGGTTGCTGGCTATTGCTGCTGAGTAACAAGTATTCCAAGGCTTCTCTTGAGAGGACAAGGGTTGAGGAATAGAGGAAGTGTCTGGGAAACTAGTGAAAAATGACACTTAATGACATTAATGACTTAATGAACACTCATGCAAGCTGGACAGTCACCTAGGCCTTCGTTTATACCTTCACCTTGATCACTTGGGCCTCACAAAGCAAAATGACCTTCCGTTTAGTCTGGGAAGAGAGAAATTCCCTCTTGCAATTCCTTTTCCTTTTACTTAGTCCTTCACTGGATGCCTTTAGTTAGCCAGCACAGTTTTAAAACAGTTCACCCACACACAGCCGCTGTCTGGGTGTTCGCTGTCTGTGGTCAGCGTTGTGTAGGAGGCTGATCCTAACTCCTTATGTGAAAAGAGATATGTGACATACACAGATGAACAACGTCCTGGTTTATCTTCTGCAACTGACTCAACTGCTGACCTTGCCACTTCTCCCCCTTCGCTCTCACCAGCTGCTGTCATGGGAAAGATTCCCTGATATTTGGGCTGGCCACATGTAAAGTCAAAAGAATGTCCATGAAGAAGGGGGTGGAAGACGTCCAAGCTAAAGAAAGCAATAGGCAAGGGTGTGTTGGGGATGTTTCAGTATGAAGCTGCAAACTCGCAGCAGGTGTTTCGGACTTGGTTTTGTACTTTTCTGGCAGTTTATCATGCCTTCTTCGTCATGGATTGGAACAAGAAATAGTTCATTCTTCTCTACTCAAACTGTTCAGGAGCTGGAGGTTCGTTCTGTATCAGCATACTCTGTCTAGCTCTTGCAACCCAAGAAATGCAGCTGCAACATAATCAGCTCCTTCCCAGCAGTGTAGATGTACGTCTTATTTCTGCTCCATCCGTCAGGTGCTAAAGGAAATCTGTTTAGGACAGCTTGCTGCAGGCACAGATGGCAGCACAGAGCACGGAATAAATTAGAAATCCGGAGTTTACAGGTGAGGGGAAGGAGCCTGAAAGGTCACGTACAAGGGAAAAGATCCCATATGCAGAAGCGAGTCGAACCTCCGTCACTGACTGATGGCTAGCAGGATTCACGGCACCCGCGAGCTGCCTGCTTTTGGCAGGTGCTCTCAGTTCTTCCAACGCTGACAAACCAGATACTGCAATTTACATCCCCATCCCAGAAACACCTTGAATTGTTTCTTTCTTGAGCCCTTATGTGATTAGTGCTACCGCTTGCTGCAGAGACTACAGCTGAAGAGGGCTGCTCGGGCAAGAACTCAGAGCGTGCGTTTAGCCCCCCCGACACCGAGACACCCCAGCCCAGCTTCGAATGTTAATGGACTTACCGGCCACCGAGCTGGAAGATGATCTCATGACAAGGCAGAGGAGCCAGAACGCTTCGGCTGTCATTTCGAAGTAAAGTTTTTCCAGATTCAAAATGAACTGGAGTCTTTTATGCCCTTCCCCCGATTCATGCTAATGAGAGGCAGCCTTAGGGGAAACAGGAATCACTCACTGGACAACCCGCTGGAGCAAGACCAAGCCGCCGCCGTCCCTGCTAGCCTCCCACTGCCCCTGCCTAGGAGGAACGCGCAGGACACCCCCTCCCACACAAACTGCTCGCAGTCACCGGCGTTTCTGTGGCTGGCGTCCCGAGGTGGGTGTTTTTAGCAACAGGTTCTTAATTTAGGGGAGGGTCTGGCTTCCTATAGTGTTTTTTAGAGAAAATCATCTAGAAGCAATACGGTTTTACCGGATATTGAGAAGCACATTATAAAGTGCGACTGACAGATGCTGGCACACGCGTCCCCTCTGCGACTCAGCATCTGCACAGGACGTGCATTACAGTGAAACATGGTTAGGTATTTCTGGCCACCTCCAGTTAGGCAGCTGGTTATCTCCTCCTGTAGCTTAAGGAACCCTTTCCAGTGATCCTTTCAGACAGAAAAAAGGCAGCAGCTACCGTCCAGCCTAAAGGAAAGCTCGGCTGGCCCCAGATGAAGCTTTATATTTACATCAGTGTTTGCCAACACGAAGAACTCTGCACATTTCGCACGCTGAGCCAACCCTGATTTGGGTGACCGAGTTAAGCAGGCTGACTCCTCTGTTCCCAGCTGTATCGGGTGACCCTGTCGCTGGAGAGGACTTCTGTCGCGACAGCTGATCTCCCCAGCTGCTGCGGGCTGTCGGGAGGGTGGTGACGCGGCTCCTGCCTTAAGGTGGGACAGTGTGAAACCCGGCAAACGCGCTAGATGCCGGCTGCTGGCACACCCCTCCGGGAAACCTGCCCTGCCTGTGTCATGGGCCCGGCCGTGGCCTCGGTGGAACAGTTCTGTGCCGCCTTCCATAAGCAGTTTCATAAGTTTTAAAAGCACAGAGCTTCAGCAGCTCTGGGTGAAGCCACGGAAAACAAGCCGGGAGAGCACGCAAACCGGTTCGTAGCACATCACTCACTCTGTATGTTTTTGCTGCAGCATTTACGAATCCTTCTTTTCCTGTTAAACAGGTTCATTGGGAAGTGTCCCAACACCGCTGTAGGGACACCGGAGCTGAAGCTACGGCTGAGGAGAGGCGCGGGGGTGTGTCCCTG